ATGCATTCCATTTCATTTTTGACAACTTCCAATTTTCCCAGATTCATACTTCGTACATTCCATGTTCTGATTTTCAATGGATGTTTACAGCTGTTTCTCTTCATTTTGAGTTGTGCCCCATCAGCAAACGAAGGTCCCATGGGCTTTACTCCATGCGCGTCATTACACTCAACTCTACTTTGAGGAGGAAGCTGTTTCCCAGTCACATTTGAGTGCCTTCCAACCTGAGGGGCTAATTTTCCGGCACTATATCTGACAGTGTTTCTCTGCTATTCATAAGGTTTTGGTGACTAAATATACGGAAGTAGTTTGTCACTCTTTCTTCCTAGTCTGTCTTCATGTGGAAGCTCATCTGAAACCTGTCCACCATGGGTAACCCTGCTGGTATTTAAAATACCAGTGGCATAGCTTTTAGAATCACAGGAACTCACAAGCCATCACAGTACGACAAACTGACAGATGAGTGATGGTTTTCATTATTAGTCACTGCTTAATGGATTGTAGGTCTGTTACAAGAGTTAAGGCATGAATGGTTTGTTAGGGCAACAGATTAGCTACAAAGAACAGTAATAGGGAGAAAGTTATATAATTCACAGTAAAAACCATTTAATGGCTTAATAAAATGCAAAATTCTTCATCGGCTTTCTTTCCACAGCCCTGCATGTCTAGCCCCTGTTTACCTTTAAGGGCTGTCATTATTGTAGTCCCTGAATGAGCCCAGCTTTTCTCTTTCTCGAGGCCTTTACCCATGTCACCACCTGACTGGCACAATTGTCCTGTCTCATAGCAGCTTTCAGTCTTCTCTGCTGCCCTCCCCTAACTCTACGTACACAACTGTGTGCTTTGTACTTACTCATCATGTCTCTCTCCATAAAGTGGGTCTAAGCTTAATTGGGATAGGGGTCGTGTAGGTTTTGGTCACTTCTGTAGGGCCGGAGTAAACAGTTAAGCACTGAACTTTTTGAAAGTTTGGGGGATGCAAACCCATGCAGAGAAACCTTGGAAGACAGGCCCGGTGATGATCTGCTTCTGAAAAGTCCCAGCCTTGGAAACCTATGGAGCAGTTCTACTCTGCACACACATGGTCATCAGGAGTCAGCATCAACTCCGCAGCAACTAACAAGAAAACAGCCAGCAGGACTTATGTTACCCAGAAAGTATGCTTGGGTGCATTCCTGCAGGTGGACGTGGCCCACGCCAGGTCACTGAGCGTGAACTGATTGAACCCCACTGGCTGGCAGTCCTTGTGCTAGCGTCAACCTGTCCAGCAGGGTTGCCCAGTGTCAGATGGTACTTGAGAGCCACCCCTCACCCACCATCACTGAGTCAATTATGATTACTTGAGGCCCAGGAGGACATAACAGATCGGTTCCCTAGGATTTCCAAAACATGTACATCTTTATAGAAACAGACATCCTCATCTTTCTCCAGGGAATTCACTGGTGGGTTTGAACCACTGACCTTGTGGTTAGCAGCCCAACACTTAACCTACTGTGACACTAGGGTCCTTGTGTATGAGACAGTGACCTCAATACCTTAAAGGATGAGGGAGTGTCTCCTTGACACATCTAAGTAGTTCCCAGGTTCTGGGTTTGGAGTTCAACTTGAGAGGAATATAAGGGGGTTCCAAGAATTTTATGGAGACCTGGAATTGAAGATAATGGAGTTCTTCCATGAACTCTTTGAGATGAGGAGCTGGGGGATAAGGGAATCCACTAAAGATTCCAGGGTGGGCAGCAGGAAGACCTTGGAAAGGTGGGTGAGCAGAGCGGAGACTAAAGAATGGTAGAATGCTATCAAAGAGGAGCACCCCTTAGGAAGGAAGGACAGAGTGGGAGTCAGTAGCAACTGGGAGTGGCAAGAACAGAGAAAAATACACTGCCAGAATTGGGTCAGGCACCAGGGACATCATGCACCACCCACTTCCAGGAAAGGCAATGTGTACCTTAAAAGAAAGCATGATTCAGCATTATAGTACTTACATTTGCAATTTGGGGAAAGCTTTTTAAAGCTTATTGTTTTCTTAATTCAAAGTATTAAGGATAAACAGGCGCGGTGACAAACAGGGCAGGGACACGCAACTGGGAGCATCAGTTTCTAAATCCTGTTCATCCTTTAAAGACCTGACTGGTGTTGTGGGTAAAACAAAAGCTCTTTCATCACCAGCCCCACCCTGCAAGGTTCCCTTGGGCCTGTGCATACCAGGCCTCAGCCAAGCTTTCACTGCTTAGCAAGCTTTGTCAACTTCTGAATTACTGCCTAGGCCTAACTGCCTCCTGAACAAGGCTTCTTCAGGGCTCCAGCAGGTTCCTTGACACTCGAGGGACTGGGCATCCTAAGATATGCTTACTAATAATCTCCCCTTTTAATTTTGTCTCTCCCGCCCCCAGGGCCTGGGTGAGTCAGGAATGTTTCTGGGATCTGCCGTCTTCTTCGCTATAGCTGATGCTGTGGCTGCAGCTCGAAAGCAGAGGGGCCTGGACCCGAGTTGGACAATGAACAGCCCAGCCACTCCGGAGCGGATTCGAATGGCCTGTGTGGATCAGTTTACAGACCTGGTATGCGGCTCCTCTTTCCAGTCCAAATTCTCTGCAGTCCCCAATGATGCTCAATGTCTAGAACAAGGGGGATAAGAGCACATGTTAATATAAAAGTAAATTTACAGTTTCAGCATACATACTGCTTTCATTTAGAAAATGAAAGTTCCCTGTTTTTAATTTCAAACAGCAAGCTGTAAGGTTTTTATATTTATCAAAAGGGAAAATGGCTTTTAAGGAAATGGTGCTTTCCAGCTAGGTTCCAAATGGGTTGCAGGTGAACTACTGATACTTCAGCCTTGCAACAACCTTCAGCTATAATCCATTTACCTTAGGTGCTCAGCTCGAATATTGTCACTTCCTAACAGTGCTGTGACCTAGAAAGGGTGGAAGTTCTACCTACAGCTCTGTTGTTGTTGTTGTTGTTGTTGTTGTTGTTGTTGTTGTT